CGTACACCCACCCTGCCGCATGCTTGGGTACGCACCCGCGCCGCGGTAGGTCACAGTTCGGTGGCTACCAGATCAGGCTTTTCTTGGATAAGTTGCGAGTCACCATCAACGACTTGGTAAAGATGGACGAATTCGAAATGGCCTCTGAGGAACTCAGGGAACGACGTCAGAGGGAGAAGCAGGACCAGAGGCGACGCCGACGCGAGGAAAGGATGCCAAACTTCTTTGTCATCAGGGACCCGGAGCGTGTTCGTCACAATCGTCCAATTTCGTTCCGGAGACATGCTGATGTGGCAGGACCCAGTACGTCAAGGAGACGTTATTCGCCGACTGGGAACCGCAGGTCACGTTCGAAGGAGCCGTTCCGAACGTCATGGATCAGGAGCACATCGTTCGTCACACCGAGGGGAACGCCGTCACGAGTCACGCCACGCTGGACCGCGAAGAAAATAAGAGTCGGGACGACTCTTCGCCCGCGAGGGGCATGTAGATACAATGCATATATTTTTGTTATTGTTACACTTAATCACAATGTTCACTTACTCTTTTGACTTACTGTTGTTATTCCTTCTCGTTGTTGCCTTAGCTCGTATTTCGAAATACTCTGATCCTCACTTGGTACTGTATCTCTCCACCCGACCTCATGGTACTCACGTGCTCACCAGTATATAAGGCGGCTTCAGCTGCCAGGTCTCAGTCTATTCTACTCGATCTGTCCTCTACTCTTGCCGAATAAAGCTTCCACTGGACTGTGTTCGACTACGCATCCCCCTAGACACGAAGACGCCAAGCCGGACAGGTGCCAATTTGTAAAATTATTGATATTGGCAATTTAAATATAAATTAAATCAAAATAAAAAATATAATAAATAAGAGAGCGGCTTTGACTTCACTCCGTGAGAACTTTCTATCATCACCAAACAAAAACTAGTAGGTTCGTCGGAAAGTTCTCAGCGGTTTTGAAGTATTTCATTGTAAAGCGAATTTCTAATTACCACATCGGATTTGATTCGTAATATAGGCCCATTTGAATCAGCATCACTTTTGCCAATGTGACAGCAGTCGAGACGAATCCCATTCAAAGAATAATCTGTGCTGCGAGAATTTCACTGGAAATTGCCACTGAAGGTGTCTTTTTCGCTAGTCCAATTGTAAGAAGAATTTTTCAGTCAAGGAAGGTTCTGACATGTTTGAATAAGCTGAGATAGTCGTGTTGGTGAAAGGTCTGGAGAATATGGATGGGTGTGAGGTAGAACTTCAACCCCCAATTCGTTCAATTTATGGATAGTGATTTGTGAAACGTGTGGGCGGGCGTTGTCATGCAAATGAATCGAACCCTTTCTTTTGATAAGTGTTGGCTGCATCTGACAAAATTTTCGGTACAATTCGTCGACTTCTTCACCTTAGTAGTGGTTCTGCGTATGTGATGGTTTTGGTCTGGTTATATAATAATCTCCATAGTGGGATCACACCAGCGCGATGAAGCAACAAGCCGTTACCGAGAAATCGTTTTTTTCGGGGAGGGCCACGCCCCCGAGGGTTCGGCTTGTGAAAATTACCTCCCGGTGGTTTCCGTCGGAAATCCAAACATCTGTCCCGGAGACGTCTCCTGTTATCATACATGACCCATTTTTCATCACAGGTGACAATTCGGCCCAAAAACAGGTCGTTTCTGCTGCGCAAAAGCAATGCAGAAGGAACTCGAGACGTGCCGATTCGCAAATTCCTTGCCGGTCCACTACGATTTGTGGGGCACCGGAAGCTGTCGAGGCTTTTACATTCCGAATGCGTTCCAGCCCACCCACTCCCCCTCGCCCACCGCAGGTGGGGGATTTGCCAAGGGCCAGTAGCTCGTTTGTGAATCTCATCGCGAGACGTAGTTTGGGATGGCGTAGCTCCAAATCCCCCTTTAAACATCTCCTCGTCAGATAATTGCTGCGTTGGCGTCGACCGGGACTATGAGGTTCATCCTTCAAGCGCCTAACAATTACCCCCCATCCGCCCCGGTGGAAGAACGAATTTGTTGAGCCATTGCCGCACAGTGCTTTCTCTAGCACTATTGGGCCCCCACACCTGGTTAATTTGTTGAGCTGTTTCGATTGCGGATTGCCCCAATTTATAGTCGAAGAAAAAAATCGTCCGAAGTGCTCTTTTCACATGCTTGAAAAAATCTTGAAAAAAGGGTTTATCAAGCAATGGTGAAACGGCAATTATACCATCAGATAGCGCAAGAAATTCTCTACAGGATGTGCTACTGAGAAGCAAGGCAGAATGAGTTTTTAATCAGCAGTGAATGTACAAAAAATAGGTGCACAAAACGCTGAGAACTTTCCGGACAACCTAATAACCGTATTCAAGCTGATGACTCGGAGAGGAGAACCAACTAGAGACTTGTCGAAACCCTCAAGAACATTACTGTACTTCTCATTGAGAGCTTTTGTAGCACCTTCAGCAGATTCGAGCCGCAAACGCATCTGATCCAGCTCACATTGGGCCTAAACGTTACAACCACTTGTTAGATTTGTTAAAGTTTTGAATACGGTGAATAAGTCGCTCTTCGAAGCTGAGCTCTAGTGAGTTCTTCGAATGTTTTAATTGAATCAATTCTTTTCGAAATTTGCGACGCCATGTCACGCACAATGTCGTCTTGTGACTGCAAAAAACCTTTTTTAGCGTTCAGGAAATTGAAAAAACTTCCATACCTTCACATCTCCATCTCCAGAAGGCTTACTCGTAAGCTGAGCGGCAAACAGATCCCGCTGCAACTCGAGTTGCTTTTCACGGCTAATGGCGGTCTCTTTCCAGAGCCTCAGCTCCTCCTCAACAGCTGTCACCTTTGCAGCCATTTCTGGAAAAAACCAGGTGAAATGAAAAGTATCAGAATTCGTACTTAAATAAAAATGTATTTATCGACATGAGCATTGAAAGCTATCATAACTCAAAGTGGAATACCTGAACGAATTTTCTCCTCCTTTCGAGTCCAACTCTGCACGCAACCGAGAAATCTCACTTTTGTAGGCCATGACGGTGTCTCCAGTAAGATCTTCATTAGCATGAACACGATTTTCAATCTTGCGACAAGCAGCTGCGAACTGTAGGGTAGAAAGCGTATCAGAGTAATACCTGAAAGCAGATACAATGTCCTCTACAAGATCTGAGACCTCCATTACCCTTCACTATCTCACTCTTTAAAATCTATCCATATTTTCACTGAACTTTTCTTCGGACGCGCACTTTCGACTAGACTTTTGCCCCTTTCCCCTGGAATTTGATCCCTCAACGAAAAACTCCGCCTACTGTAGATAGTGGCACCAAGCTGCGAACCTATAGTCGCTCAGTGACGCACCTGAGAAGAAAACAAGCAAAACATATCATGGAGAACACTCTATGTAAGGATCTTATCCTCTCTGAACGAGTTCTCTGGCCCTGCTCGTTTTGTTCCAGCAAAGCGATATCCCCGCCAATGATTCACTAACCATTTCTTCGCATCCTCGATGTTTATACCGTCAAAGAGCCAAAAAAAGGAAAGGAAGAATCGTGGTGTAAAACTGAACTCGACAGAAAACAGCCTTCGAATTTTGGTGCGCGGGACCACTACAGAGCGGTCAGCCACTGTCATTTATGGGAACCGCAGTGCCTTCCTTACTTACTGCGAAAGTGAGACAGTCTTAGAGTTGGGGACCATACTGCTTGTACAAGGACACCTACAAATCGGGTGAGCCTAAGGACTGTCTCTAAACACAGTTTGCTTCAGACCAGAACCTCTAGTGTCGGCGCCAGGAAAAAAAGGCAACACAGAGTAACTCTGCCGCAGACGTCCGTAACAACTATTTTGTGCCAAGCAGACGTGCTGTATTTATGCTCAAGAGGAGAAAACTAAGACTGGGTATAAATTTTCAGCTAATGAGGTTCTTTTAGGTGTTTTGATTAGTGACTAGTGCCAAAAGAAGACACCATTGGGGGAGGGTACCATACGGTACCGAGTGAATCTACCACATCCCTGTTAGGGTGGTAGAACATCCGAGAGAAATATACTCTTAGTTCGTTGCGGACGAAGGGACGTGTCAGGCAGAATGAGGGGATCCGGCGCCAGAGCCACTCAATGTCAGTTGTTGAATTGGATATGCGACATTAGTTGGTAGAAAACTGCTGATGCGACCGATACGAAGAACAGAATTTGGATGGCGTTCGACAGATGTCACAGAAAGGGTGATGAGAAACAATATGCAGCTCTCAAGCGTGTTCATACTTCGCGAT